GCACAAGTAAATGAGATGTGGACACTCATTTTAAGTGCCCTTAATATGGTCTGTGTGTAATTTCACTCTCTGAGTACTCTAGGATGTGCCTCATCCACCCCTGCTAATTAAAAAAAATGCAACCTATTCTTCCCCTGTTCTAGGCTGATTATTTCCTCCTCTATCTGTGCTGTGCTTATTATTTAATAGTTGACTTGATTTCTGAAAACTGAATACTTCAGCCTTTTCAGCATCCTGCATTACTACATTTCCCTCCCCATTCATAAATTACCTTAGTCTTCCTCTTCTGGCATATTTGTAAAAATGTGTTTTGGGTTTTTGTTGTTGTTGCATTTTACATCCCTTACTAGCTGCATCTCAAGCTGTGCCTTGGTCTTTCTGATTTTCTTCCTGCATGCATGTCTACGTGACACTCTTATACTCATCCCTAGTAACCTGGCCAAGTTTCTACTTTTTCTATGATACTTTAGAGTTTCAATTCACTGAAGAATTCACCATGTAGCTAGGACAGCCTCTTCCCACACTTCCTATCCTTTCTTTGCATTGGAATAGCCTGTTCTTGTGCTCTCAATGTGGTCTCTTTAAGGTGCAATCAAAATTCTTGGACTGCATCGAAATTACCTCCATGGGATCTAATTCCCTGGGTTTGTTAAAAGCTGCTTTTATGAAGTCCAGTATCATTAGTCTTCTACAAGGGGATTATTAAAATTCAAAGTAAGAATTTTTGTTCTTGCCCTGCAATAAAATCAAAGCTGCAGTTCCTCATGGTCAAAGTTTATCTTTCTTTTTATGGAACGATTAGCAGCCTGTGGTCCCACACTGACCTGTTTGGTGTCTCTTAACCAGCATGTAAATGAGATTTTTTTTTTTTATTTCAGTGGAGAAATTAGAGAATAATTTTGAATGTGTTATTTGTAGATGAGAACTCTTTCTTTTGTCACATGTTATTATAAATGGCCTCAAAGTAACATGGTGTTAGAAATGGAATGGTATGTCAGGGGTCAGCACATACTTTTTGTGCAGAGTGCGAAAAACACCTGCAGCCTCGACTTGGAAGATGTTGGCATGCCAGGGGTGTACAGCAGGGGGGCTGCAAGGGGCCTGATCCTTGTTGTGACAGTGTACTCTGGTCCCTTCCTCGCTGTCTGCCCAAGGTGTGCGTGCCAAGCAAAATGCCTTTGCATGCCATGTTCTGGCACCTATGCCACAAGTTGCCTACCCCTGGTGTAAGTAATCTTTCTGTAACTGCAGATGGGTTTCTTCATTTTCTAGAGCATATCTCCTTAATGGAATTATCTTTCGTATGCCCACAACAGGAGGTGCCATCTTGTATGGACAAACAACAAGGGTCATAACCAGTTAATGTGCTTGACCTCATGCTGCCTGCTTGCCTAGCATCCAGTAGAATAAGAAGTTGGTTTTGCATATTAAATTGCCTGTTTGCCTCTTCCCTTGCAATACTGCCAAAATTGGGCCAAGTGTGAGCTGGAGCCCTATTCATTCAAGAAAGAGGAGGCAGCTGGCAGGACATTCTCTGCAGGGACCTCTTCATCACTGAAGTTCACTTCCCTGATGAACAGGCAGCTTGTTTTGCATTGAGAGACTCTGGGTGGGGTTTTATAAGTATTTACGTATGTTTTTAGTGGCCAGTGATGCTGACTGCAGAGGTAAGGAGCATGAAGAAAGGGGGTCTGTCTGTATACCTGTGGGTCTCCAGCATGGGGAATGTGATTTACTTTGAAACATGCATATGAGACCAAAGATATTTAAAACATAAGAAAATTAGCTCTTACAGCTGCCAGGAGTTGTATCAGGCCCTTAATGCAATTAGAAATTAGGGACCTGGAGTCAAAAAGGTCCCTGGCTTTTAAGACACCAGTTGAACTAACAAGCGATTCTTTGGAGTTCCCGCCTTTGTCATCTCAGAAAATGTTACTTTAAAGCAGTAACCCTTTAGCACTGGTACAGATGAAAAGCATTAAGTGCTTTTTAAAGAGAAGTGAGCAATCGCTGTATTTTCTTTGTCTGAGAAATTCAAGTAAATCGCACAACACTCCCGAGGTCACATGCTGAATCGGTGGCAGAGCAGGGGATAAAACTCACCTTCCAGTTCGATGCTCTTCCATACAGCCTCCCAATAGACACTGCTTTCTTTTGCATGTTGGACATGATTTACAGCTCCTAGAACAGTGCGCACGTTTCCAAAACAAGGGGGGTGAGGGGCGGGCAGGGCACATTTTACATTTCAGCATTCATCTACAGGTGTAGTAGACAGACAAAACGGTTACATTGGTTCAGCTCTCCCAAATAGCAAGTCTTCCTCTCTCTCTTCAAATTGTTACACCTGTCATAGCCTCCGTGGTAGTCTAGAACCAGGTGTCAGGATTTGCAGTCTGAGGGTTTGTGCTTCCAACTTTTTTCTGATCTGTAGTCTGTATTCCTTTAGCTTGTAATATCACCTCTTTCATACGTATGTACTCACATGGTAATACAGATGGCTAAATATGCGCTTTGAATACATGCTAACCACGTAATTGTAATAATCTGATTTGAAAAAAACCCAATAATCAGACTTGGCCATGTAGTAGATTGGTAAACATGGTTTTGTCCCCTCAGGTTTTCTTCTTTTCAACTTGGTTTTATATAACTTTACTTTTAGTCCAGGAAGTGTTTGTTCGTTCAATTAGCTGAATAGCAGAGTTTCTGAAAGAATATGTATTGTAAGATGGCCACGTGGAGAGTTGATTTCTATATTTTACATCTCAGCAGAAAAATGATAGGTTCCACATGGCAGAATTACCTCAGAAACTTTCCATCCTGTCTTCACTTTCTAGTAAAGCTAGTTTAGTGGCATAGCCAAAAGAAATTCAACCTCAATTCTATTGTTGTGTATGTAGTCCTTGTCCAGTAAGGCACTTGAGTACATACCTAACTGAACAGATGACTAGTCCTGCTGATGTTACATGTATAAGCAGAAGGTTAAATGTCTTGCTAAATTGGAGCTATAGTGCTGTACATGTAAAGGCCTTAAGAAAAAGACAACTTGCTTTGAAGAAATAGATATTAAAAGACCCTAGGCCACAAAATACAAATCCCAGGCTGAACTTCACCAACATTTGGTGGTGATGATTTCCGCAGTTTGGTCAAACACGTGGGTCAGCCTGATGTTCAAATCAGGTCCCAGTTCCCCCAGTGCCCAGAAGGTTCAGGTTTGGGGTTTTATTTCCGGCCCATCTCTCTTTGTTAGGATGAGGTATTTGTCTTTTATTTTACTTTATTTGATGAGATGAACTTGTAAAGATGCTATGAGTTTAAAAATAAGCATTTCCTTATGTAATGTTCCTTTATGTCCTGGATGTGCAAATCTATTCCTTTACAAAAATGGGTTTTCCTCCTTCAGTGTGCGACCAAGGTTTGTTTTGATAGAGAGTGCCAGAAGTGGCAAGCTGCCGATTATTGTTGAGGGACTTAATGGAAACCTGTTATACAGCCCCGTCCCTATTATAAAGTCGGTATTTACCCACTCTTAACTAGCGTCATCTGAACCATCGCATTATTTCCCTGTAATTAGGCCAGCTAACAAATCCTTTACTTGTTAATGGCACCCATAGCATAAGAGAAAACGTCAACAGATATGACAGATAGTAGCCAATAGATAAAGTCCAATTGCTTTGTGATGGCGCACAACTTGAAAGCCATGTTACAATAATAGATGTGAGTTTCTAGTGTCTGAGGAGCTCTTTAGGTGTAGTCTATATTGTGAAGAGGATTAAAATACTTCTGACAGAAAGCTCAGCATGCCTTATTTTCGACAGGTAAATACGTACTTAGCACGCTCAATAGCATAGGCTCTGACTATGCTTTTCTTTGTCCTGACTGAAGTCTGTGCTGAGACACCACCTGCCACTTAGTTGTTCCACCATTACATCTGCTGCCAGTAGATGATGGCACCTGTCCTGCCATGGCCCTGCGTGGAATTTGTCCTTTACTGATCCCCATCGTGTATGGTGCATCGTACAGGGAAGCCCTGTTTACATGTTGCTGCAGTACAAGCAATAGAAATTGTCTTTGTTCGTCTGCTTTGTAGTTTTGATCCTTTATTTTATTGAACATGTCTTGTTATATTCATGCTAAGTATCATACAGCACCCCATTGCCTTGACATGGGTCATCTTAAAAGTGTTTAAGCAAAGGCGCCATTCACTTCTGGGAAAATGACACTTGAGTTTCTAGTGCAGACCAGGCCTTTGTATATTCAGTCTTATTCACAAGCCCCTTCCTTCTGCTCTCTAAACTCAGATATGAGCCTTTTGGCTTGATGGGCTGTATTGGAAGTTAAGTGACAGGTTTTAAAGGATCTCTTCAGGCATACTTAGTTAAGACTTGTCTTATTTTAAAAAGCCAAATAAAAGTTGCTTCCTATGAAGGGAAGTGGGGCATACTTCAGGTTGTGAAAGCCATATAAAGACAACAGAGCTGTCGTTCCAGGTCAGATTTGACAAGAACAAGTAAAATGCATAAGCGCGGACTTTAATAGCTCTCAACACTAGTGACACTGATGTAAGACGCTTGCTTTTTAAGCAGATGTAGTGTGTGCAGCAATGCTGATTTTTTGCTGTGCACATAAGGCAGAAGCTATGGGAAAAATCACCTCCCAACGGCACCTTTTCCTGTAGGAGAGGAACTGCATACACACAGTGCTTATATGCACATACTAGGAAGTGGCCCTATTCTTTAATTTGTGTCACTTAATTACACAACTAATTTGTTTTCTCCTCATGATAAGATCTTTAAATTAAATGTTCAAACATAGAAGAATGCTCCTATTTAAGGGACTGAGATAAAATGTATTGAATATCCTACACATAACAGCTCGTCCCCAGCATGACAACCTGGCTAAGCCGTCATCTGTAAACAGGACTCTTACTGCTTAACATCAAAGCCCCCACAGTGAATTCTAGTCTCAGAGCCATCATAATCCTTTCATGTGTTTTTTTCCAGGTTATACCAGCTTGACAAGCATTGCCAGACCACTGCTCAGCAGCTAGTGGAGTTACTCAATAAACAGAATCAGCTCTTCAAAGAGAGGCAGATGCTTACAGAAGAGGTGCAGATCCTGCGCACCCAGGGATCATGCCAATACCAGGAACAAGCGAAAAGAAAGTCATAGGGAAATATTCCTCAGCCATCGAGAAAGGTAAAGTCATTAGCACAGGCTTGTTTCAAGCTGGTTTTCCTTCCTGAGACATTAGCTTCAGAGAACAGAAATAGCTCCATTTGATTGAGGGCGACTGGCAGTTGTACCCAAGCCCTGATTAAACCTCCACTAAATTAAGAAAATGTTATGAGGTATATGAAAGCAGCAGAAATAATTATTGTTAGCAATTCCAAGCAGATCTTTGCTTTGTCCATCTTGCAAAAAAACAGTAGGCAGTACAATATTCCTTGTTTAACAGCATTCACATTTAAGCACGAACATATAGAGTTGTGCTGACCTGCCATTAAGTCCACCTGAGATCTGACCTGCCATTGAGTCCACCTGCTACTTTCTGTGGTTTTGCCACCTCATTTTTAAACATTTTGGTCTCCCTTGTTGCTCTGAAAAACCTGCAAAAAAAGAGGCGGCACTGACAGGCTAACTGTACAGAGGAAGTATTGAACTCTGAAGTCAGTGGATGTCCATGCAACCAGGGAAGTGCATAATAGTAAAAGAGTACAAACTACAACAATCAGCATCTGAACATTTAAGTTGGACACTGATCCAGTAATCATTCACTACTTTGGAAAAAAGAAAGAGAATCGAATGTATTAGTCAAATTCCAAAATAGATCTCTATTTCTGTGGTGAAAGTGATTTAATGATATTAACCACTGACCCATCTGGCTCATAAACACAGCAAGCTACTAGTTCAGCGACAAAATGCAGAATTTCATTAATACTAAGGTGACCAAGGTAATTCAGTTGGGAGAATCAAATAATCATAGAGAATTAGGGCTGGAAGGGACCTTGAGAGGTCATTTAATCTAACCCCTGGCCTGAGGCAGGATCATCCCTATCCAAATCATCCCATACAAATCCATTGTTTAACCTCTTAGCAAAACTACGGAATCAACCCTGACACAACGTTAGACATGACACCTAATTGGCCGCAGATAAAGCAGAAGATCCATGGTGGCCAACATCCTGCTGCTGTAAAGGTCACTAAAAGTATGCTCAAGAGATCCCAGGAAGAGGCCCATGCCCCCTGCTACAGAGGCAGGCAAAACCCCCCCCAGTCTGTACCAGTCTGATCATTACGTAAAACTTCTTCCTGACCCCAGTTATGGCAATTGGTCTGACCCTAAGCAGAGGGGCAAGGCCCTCTAGCCAGCAACTTCCAGCTTTAAATCTCAGGAGGAGCACTGGCACACCCCAGTCAAAATCCCCAGCCTTGGCCAACACTCAGTGCTTCTGAGGAAAGCAAAAGAAACAAACCCTCAAGTATAGCAACAGGAGGGGAAAAAAAATTTCCTGGCCTCATGTAGTAACCAGCAAAGCCTAGGACCATGGGAAATACCCATAGTAAAGCATAGGCATAGCTACTTCTAGATCATCCCTGACCAGTGCTTGTCCAACCTCTTCTTGAACACCTCCAACAATGGCAATTCCACAACTTCCCTAGCCAGTCTATTCCACTGCCTCATTGCTCTAACACTGAAGACATTTTTCCTCATGTCTACTCTAAACCTATTTTGCTGCAACTTCATGTCACTGATCTGTGTTCTACTCTGCAGCAAGAGAGAAAAGGAGTTTTCTTTCTTCTTTATGGCAGCCCTTCAGGTATTTCAAGACTGCTATCATTTCTTCAGTTCCTTTTCTGCAAGCTGAACATGTCTGTTTCCTTCAACTTCTTGTAAGATTTGCCTTCCAAGCTCTTTTATCATTTTTGTTGACCAGATTCGGGCCCTTCTGTTGATTCACCCTAAAACTGCATTTGCTTTTTTGTGCATCTGCATTGCACTTGGGATTCGTGCTGAGTTTGTGGTCCATCAGGACTCCTAGATCTTTCTCTGTAGTGCTGCCATCCAGCAGGTGTCACCCACTTAGTATTTGTATTTTTTATTATTCTTTCCAAAACATAGTACCCTGAATTTCCCAGCATTGAATTTCACCTTGGTAACTCCAGCCTAGCTGTCCAATCTGTCAGGATCTTTCCGAGTTGCTTTCTCATCCTCCAGTGTGTTCACTGTCCTTCCCAGTTCCATGTCATCTGCCAATTTGCTCAAGATGCTTTGTTCCAGCATCCATATCACTAGTGCCTTAAACAGCACTGGGCACAGGGCAGACTCACAGAAAATCATAGAAAATGAGGGTCGGAAGGGACCTCTGGAGGTCATCTAGTCCGACTCCTGTGGGACTCCACTTGAAACCTCCTGCCATTCTCACATTAATCCATTAATAATTACCCTTTGCTTGCCTCTTTCAAGCCAGTTGTCTATCCATCTTACAGTACTTTTGTCTAACCCATATTTCTCCAATTTATTAATGAGAAGGTCATGTGAGACCTTGTCAAAAGCCTTGTTGAAATCCAGATACACTATATTCACTATATACACATTGGCCTCATTCACCAAAATAGTAACTTTGTCAAAGAAAGAAGTTAAGTTTGTTTGACACAATTTGTTCTGAGTAAATCCATGCTTGGCTGCTTGTGATCAGCCTTTCCTCATCCAGACGCTTGCAAATGGACTTCCTTAGGATATGCTCCATTAGCTTCACAAGCACTGGGGTCAGACTAAGCCATCCAAAGTTCTCTGGGTCCTCCCTTCTGCTTTTTTAAAGAGGGTAATGTGTTGGCCCTTTTCCAGTTCTCGAATACCTTGCCCATCTTCCACAACTTGATTAATATTACTGCCATGGGCTCCACAATCTCCTCTACTAGTTCCTTCAGGATCCTAGAATGAAGTTAATCAGGTTTTTCAAAAGCTCTCAGACTGTCTCTTTCATTATCTCATCCCTTTGCTTGTTCCCTTTCTTATCCAGATAATCTTTATTAGTCATCTGGTTGCAGCCTAATTTTTTTGTGAAGACTGAGGCAATGTTGCTGTTTGAGTATCTCTGCCTTTTGTGCGTCTTTTGTTAAAAGTTTGACCTGACTATTTAGCGGTGGGCCCACAGCTTCCCTGGTCTTTCTTTTCTGCCTAATATATTTATAGAACCTCTTCTTGTTGTCTTTAATCTCCCTCACCAGATACAGCTTGTTCTTTATCTTTGCCTTCCTGATTTTGTCCCTGCAGGTTCTTGCTATTTTCTGGTATGCTGCATTTTGGTTAGTAGCAAACTAAAGAGTGAAAGAGAGAACAGTGGTTTAATACTAACAGATGTTTAAATCATGCTGTTTTTTCCAACAAGGTAGGTTAGCAGCAAATGCCAGGATGCTTTATCCTAGGAGAATGAAATACGTTAGTTATTCCTAAAATTACAACATTGAAATGGCACTGATCCCACAATGCAACAGAGTATCTTACTTACCATTTTTTCCCTCTACTGAGGATAAAAGTTACCGTACTACCTCATTTTACCATGACAAGGTCATTGTTGGCAAATGTAATAGCAGCCGCTATTTTAAAATTTTCAGAATGCTGTTGTTAAGAAAATGTAGCATTACCCTACCAGGAGAGCTTTCTGTAACCCGAAAAGTCAGAGACTCCATGAAGTCCGCTGGGGCCTTTGCCAATCTACATGGCAGACATTTCCAGTGGTATACAGACAGTAGTAGCACAATGCCATGCAATAGAAAAAATCGTTGTTATGGCCAAGACACTGTACTGCTAACTGTACTTGAATATTGTTACAACCCAAAGTCTCTTTGCAGTTGTAAGAATACATTCACATATATGTACACACGGATTGTGTGCTTTAGAGGATTCTTTATTTACTCAAGAATGCTCTCAAGGAAGTGCAGGCTGCTTTGATGTTTAATGTATTATAACAAAGCAAGAATCCAGCTGCCATGTAGGAAGTAATTTGAAATAGTATTTGATTCAGGTGAACTGGAACAGGGGAGCAGAATTATCTGGTGCATCAGTCAAATTCAGTTTTTAAGCCAGGAAGAATTTTTAAGCAAGGAATAATTCATCACAAGTTGGAGATTTTATGTCCAGATAGATATGAAATGTCCAATCAGATTCTGGTATTTAAAAAAAAAACAGTAATTTGTATTTGTGTATTTCAGTGCTGATGCTATAGTTAAACATGTACAACTGAAGTCTCCCAAGGGAAAAATGGACCATGATGCTCATAGAGAACATTGACGGATTTGAGTTAAATAATAATCTGATAAAGGAGAAATGAGTAAAACTGGATGCATTTTTCCAGTCAAAAGTAAAGGTGGTTTTAGCTGAAAATGCATTTCTCATTTTTTTCAAATGTTTAAATTTTTTAATTGACCTGAATTTTAAAAGTTAAAAAAGAATTGAACACCTAGAAATAAACCATTTTGTTTTAGTTCAAGTTTATCTTAAATGGATTTTTTTTTTGCGTTGGTGGGGGGAAAAAACCCACAGGCTCTCATTTCAGGTTGACTCGAACAAAATTCTTTTAATTTTTCAGTTCAGTCTCTCAGTATATCAACAACTGAACTGAATAATCCATTATTCTCACAACTCTAGAAACATGGGCCAATCTTTAGACTCTGAATTAAGATTTGAACGTGAATACATTTTTTTTCTAGCAATTTCTGGGACACTTGACGTACTGTCTAGAATGAGAGTACTGTTTGGTCATTACAATCATAACTTGTATGTGATGTGATCCTGTATCATAAACTTCTCCAGTTTAGTTAAAATTAAAGCAATGGCTGCATATAATATTAGGATGAATAGAAGGAAAGTATCCAAAATGAAGTGTTCAGTGAGCTCAGAGTTACTTGTAACTTGGCTACATGTAAATTATTTAAATCTGGGATTCAAGGGCAATCAATATTTGTTGCATAGTCTATACCTGTTCTTATTCCCAGGTCTACAGTATTTTTCCAATTGAAACTCAATCCAAGATTTTAAATTAATTAGCTACACTGAATCCAGCTGGACTATCTTAAAAAACAAATTGTTTATTACACAAAGATTACATCTGTGTTATATGTAACACTTGCAATTGTATTTTAAAGGCAAATTCCATATACGTTTTAACCTCAAACAGTACTGCTTCCTTTATTAATCTGTTATTATCTGTAACCTTTTCAAACAAAGGCAGCTAGAGGTATGAGTCCCTAGTGATAGGGATTCTGCCTTTTCCTAGGGTGTTGTGAAAATCTGTTTTCCGTGGAAACATTCACACCATACAGAAATACACGCATGTACATTTACAAGGGGAATTCTTGTGAGTTCTAGTGATTTGAAGAAAACCTGAAAGAACAAAGACCTGCCCCTGCCAAGTGCTCCCCCAGCACGCACACGGATTTTGTTTCTTTAGTAACAGTCCTTCCACTCTCTCTCAGACCTGTAGCTTTTACATTTGCTCCACTTATAAAAATGTCTCTCTCCCAGAAGTGAGTTTGAAAAAGGGGGAAAAAAATCTTGTCAGTCAATTGAAAGATCCATTCCCAGCCTTGGCTCAGGCTAAGAATTTCATCACTTCGTGTGTTTTAAGGCAGAAGGGACTGCTGTGATAATCTGGTTTGATCTGCTGCGTAACCCCAGGCCATGCAAACACCCCTTCATCAAGCCATTTCCCTGGGCTCAGATGTATCCAAACTTGATTCAAAAGTAAAATCTATAAATTAAGGTCTAAAGTCCATATTTAGGCACCTGCGTAAGTGGCCTGATTTCAAGGAGCTCTAAGTACTTTTCAAGGCCATTCAAGCAGGTGCCTAATTATAAAAGTTAGCATCTTAGTGTTGCATATCTGGCTTATGATCTAAACTCTCATTGCTCCAAAATCAGGAGAACCAGCAATAATACTAGTTTTGTTCTCTCCCAGATATCATTGGGATTCTGTTTAGAGCGCATAACTGGACTTGGAGCTAACCATTTCCTGAATAAGAATATATAGTCTGCTGTAGTTTGCTCATGTCCCTCAAAGCTGGGATTCTCCCTGCTTTCCAGATCTAGCTCAGTGCCTGTCAGTTTTACAAAAACAAGTGTTTTGTCCCAGTTTATGTAATCCCCCTGCAGACTGGCTGCCTGAAGGAACTGCTGGCCAGCTGAGCCAGTGAAACGAAGAGCAGACTAGCTGATAGCATATGTACCTGGGGGATTATCTCCAGCTAGGCCTGTCAGATGCTCTGTCCTGCCCTTCTCCCCATAAGGCCTCCTAATGAGAGCTCTCGCGAATCCCTAGGAGGAGGCTTCCCCCTCCCAGTGCTGTGTCTTGCACTCCAAACCGTAGCTTTTCCTTCGGTACACTTGTCCTATTTTATGTTATGAAAATAGTCTACCGGCCAATCACCCTCTTTCTAACTAGAGCTTAGTTACTCTCTCCTCCTTCTCTTGACCTCCTTTCATTCCTCAGGTACTACTTCAGCATCCCTATTAGCTGTGGAGAATATAACTTCAAGGATGGGGATCTTTCCATAGCTGGGATTTTGCGGTTGTTCACTCGCTTGGTCAAGAATCTGCAGCAAGCCTCCAGGAACTAGTACACATGTACTGTTTTCTTAAAAGCAAATTAGTCTTTTTTATGATATCTTAGAGAAAGGTGGTTTGTTAACAAAAGACCTACAGCCACCACTTCTCTGGCTGTTTTCTTTCAAGTGGGTCAGACTGAGTTGCCATAGGAGAGACCTCCAGTGAAAACCCATCTGCTACAGAATTGGTGAGGCTAATTAATCTGGAGCTGGAGAAACACCGTTTAATCCATTCCCTGCCAGTGTCCATTTACTAGTGTTTCTTTACTATCTAGTTTGAATGCACAGGCAGTGGGGCTTCCAGTGACTTTGGGGTGGGGTGTCTATGAGGCAGTCTAATGGACCCGGTGGGCAGATTTCCACCCTAATGAGCCTAATTTTTCCCTCACTCATCTCATTTGTTGTTTATTGTACTGAACACTTGAGCTTCCCCCCTACTACTTTTCCAACAGAAAAATACCTTGACCCAAGTCTGTCTTAACCACGCAGATCTGGTTAAAAAAATCAATTTAGCCACATACAAGCTGCACGCTTTACAAAGCAACCCTATCAGAAATCCATAATTGAAAAGATCAACCAAACGAATGGTGGGTGCACTGGCCCTCTATAACCCTTTTGGTTCTTTACGATTGTTTTAGCAGGTGAAGGAAGGTGATTGCAAAGAGATTAGGGGAATTATTCTTAACACTTACCAGATCTACACAAACTATATTAGAAAATAATTTAGTTGGAACTGTGCGAGACAGTCTCCGCAGGACTTAGCTTTGAGTTGCCCTGCCACCTAGTGGAATCCATGGCTACAAGTTAGACATCCAAGCTCTCTGGGTGTCTAATTTCTGGTCAGCACTGGACACCCAAGAATACAATAGACACATGTGAGCACATGAACAGAGAGCTAGATAAACTAGCCAGCAGAAAATGCTGAGAAACAGCCCTGCCCCATCATGGTTTGACATCTAAACCTGGGCTGCAGGGATGTACCTCCTCCTCATGGGAGTCGATCCTGTTCTGTGAGTTGAACATCTAAATCTGATCGGGCCTTTTTTCACCAAATACAGAAAGGAGAAAATGGTGGTCATCCCCCCAGGAAACAGTGGCCTAGTGATTACAGCACTCACCTGGAATGCCAAAGATACAGGCTCAAATTACTTCTTGAAAGGACTTGAATCCACACAGCCCCATGAGTCCCCAACAGCTAGGGTAGAAGGCATTTTGGGGTGGGACTTTAACCTTCGCATTGAAGCTATTCCACTTTGCATAAGTACTTACGAACTTGTTGGAATGGAAACTGGTACCTAGGTCTTCTCTTTCTGGCCACCACCTTTTTCTAGAGGCATTTTCCTGCATAATTAGCATCTAATTATGTACGTAGATGAAGTGGAACAGACTAAGAGAGTCTCCTCCAGCCCAAAATACCTTGTAGCCAGGTTTAGGTATCTGTGGGAAGTAAGAAAGGCGGGCTCCAATCCTACATCTTTAGGCACCCAGGTTTCCTACATCTAACTACTCTAGTCTATAGTTTAGAAAAGGAGCATCATGTCCCAAGCTGTATTTTGTGCAAGGCCCAGTTCTTTAGGTCCTGCTGGTAGAGGAAGGCTTAGTGTTTGAGTCCACTGGGCTAAGGCATGCACTAAATGCTCATCAGCATCAGGACTTGGGCAGGTGTAGGCAGTTCTGCCCACTAACAGAAATTGAGCACCAAGGGGCCTTTACTAGTAGAAACATGGGCACCTAGTGATTATAGGTGCGTGCAGGATTAATTATCCAGGGAGCTGAGGATCTCAGTGGTGCCTAATTGTTGGACACTAAGCACTGAAGTCCTTTTGTGGACTCAGCCCATCGTTCTTTGGGTTGGTTCCTGGAACTGCTCTAAGAGGAATCCAACTCCTGCCTTTACTTTTGCCTCCCACTGCCTACCCTGATCATTGAGTGCTCTCACTGCACATACTTACCAAAAGGAAGCACCAGTTATCAGCTTGCTTAAATAGACCACCTCTTCTTAAAGACCAGCATTTCTCTTGCTTCATTTGATGTGCTTCAGATTTAAACAATGAATTCTAGGAGCAGCTCTTGAGTTCTAGTTAACTTTTAAGCTTGAATAAAAATCATTTTTTTTTGCCTTTTCATGTCAAAATAGCTGTAGGAACAACCATACTAGAAAGGGTTGAAATCAATCAAGAAAAAGGTAATTTATTTTTCTAAACAAGTTTTAAGTGTGTAATGCTTTACTAATTCAGACTGCTAAAGACAGAGGCAGTTCACCGTGTTAGTCTAAAGTCAGACAGAAGGCAGGGTAGAGTTGTATCTTATACACAAACTAAAGCTTATACATCTCTGAAGTAGTGAGGTGAACTGCCTCTCTCTGTCCAGCTTATACATCTCTGATTTAGTTTGTAAGGTCTACTCTGCCTTCTGCCTAATTCTACACAGCTGTCCCAGCTCAAAAACCTTTAGTGAAACATTGAATGGCTACTTCAGAAGTGTGAACAGACACACGGTGGCTATGTAAGCATTTCAGAGTTGCAAATTACTCTTCCCACAAAAGGTTTCTTAACAGCACACAGAGTTTCCTGTTTTGCTACAGCTGCCCACCCCATGTACAGTCTGAACAATTCGCAGTAAACACGCTCTGGCACAAACCTGCCTCTTCTTTCCTGGAAAGGATAAGGGGCAGGACCTTAGACGTGCCCCAAAACAAGAGCTCTGTTATTTACTGCTAAACATGAACCATGTCTAGAGCTCAGGGAGATCTTGTTTTTCAGGAATCAAATGACTCTGTTCTTGTACCTGGACAATTTTTGATCTTAGAAAGAGCCAAGGACAGCAGGTCTACAGGAATTGTCGTGTTTTGAAACAGCATTTGTTTACACAGCATACCATATTCTTAACCATTGTGGGACTTCTTTTCTGAGCACTTACCCACAGGAAGGAGTGACACAAACAAATTAGAAATGCAAGTAACCCCACAGAACACAAGCTATTTATAATCCTCTCTCTTTCTTTTACCTTACAGCAACCCAGTTTGCCAGTCTGAATGCTGACTTGTTTGACGCTGACCCCAAAGCAACATGTCTAATAGAAGTAACCTCTTGCTGGTTAATGTCAGTTGGTTTACACCAACTATTGGATGTGTTGCACTTAAATCAAGAAACCTTTTTAAATGTGAGCATCTTACCAAAATTTCAAATAAGACTTCAGCACAAGAGTTTTCCATTGTGCATCCTGTGAAGTGTTTAGACTCACCATCAAGTTAAAACAGCTGCTGCACAGCACGGGCTTAACTCTAAGCTTGTACAAATTTTTAGAAAATATTTCAGATGTATTTTTGTAATTTATTCCAGCATTTATGTTCTATTACATTTGTAAATGCCAATAAACTTTAATTTGATTTTTCTCTTGCTGTGTCATTT